AGAAAGGACTTGTGTCACTAAAGTTTCGTCGGAACGAAGTTACAGAAAGTTAATTAACAAACGGAGACGTAACATTACTTTGGTAAGGGAGAGAGAGGTCTCATTGTCGTTTAATTTCGTTGTTGTTAAGCGTGAAGCAACACAATGGGCTATCTGTGTTCTGCTCACCATAAGTATCGAAATCCTATTTTCAGCGTCGTAACTCTGCAGACTTACCGTTGAGCCACTGGGGGAGGAAAAGCTATCTTTTGGACTTGATTCAAGAAGTCGAGAAGACAAGCTTTCATGTCATAGCTATTGTATGTGATTTATCTGGGGAACATATATCGATGTCTTCTAAGTGAACTTCATTTGACTCAAAACATCCAAGCTATCTAATCCATCGAACCAAAAGTCGGTGTTTACTTTCTCACATTATACAACTGCCGAGAAACCACATTTTGGATTCTGGATTGTTTCTTCCTTTTGGTGCAGTAATTAGCAAAGAAACAGATTCTTAATATTTTAAAAGAGAACCAAGTACAACTTGAAATTTATCTTGAAGGCATCTCGTAGCGGTAGACAGAACGTTGGTATAGCAGTACAAGTATGTTCATATCGCACTTCTAAAGCTGTACAGTATCACTTTCCTGAATTACAAGCTGAGATTGAGATTTTCGAACTGACTGGAATTATTTTTATGTAAATAAACTCGAGAGTGAAGAATGATAATAAGAAACCTGATAAAAGTTCATATGGCATTCACCTAAAAATGTGAAATAAAATATTGAATGACATATGAGCTCGTGGAAAATATGCGTCTTGTCGGAAGAAATGTAAGACTTCCTTTTCACAATTGTATATTAATATCAAATAATAATTTTTAAAACATATTTTAGTATCTGAAAAAGAGTCATGATATCTAGAATTAACCAAGACTGTCTTGAAAGTACTTTTTCAGAAAGTCGTGCATTTGGGCAATATCACAACCATTCTTTCCCAAAAGATGTTAAAAAGCACCTAAAATTTCTCCTGATGTCAAAGCATTTAGGAGCATTATCCGAATGTATGTGCGCTGTAGTTTCTAGAAGGATCGTGACTTATCGGGCAACCTCCCGAATGTCCCAGCGTTTGCTAGACACTATCTTTTTTAGTATATAAGCCGGAGATAGATTGAAAAGAAATAATTGGTAATTTAGTCAAGCAAATAGTAGGCACCATAAGTAAAATGTGTGAATCACTGTGATTTATAGCATGTGTTATAAAAGTTGTTAAGTGTATTACAAAGTTGTATCGAGAAAGAATAAACTAGTTTTAATTAAGAAAGGACTTGTATCGCTGAAGTTCCTCGGAAAGAATTTATACCGAAAATTAACAAACGAGCAGATACGTAACAGTGGCAACCACAGTGAAGTCTGTACACCACTGGTGTATATGATAATCAGAAGCAACGAACAATTCTAAGCTCTATTTATACGGATATCGTTTTGTTTTTACAAGATGTGAAACCAAACCATTTATTCCAGAAGGAGATTTAACAAAGTTCTATCAAATTAAGTCTAAGTTTAGGAGTTTGGACAACTAACCCTAGCCGCCTACTTTGCCCATCTTTACTGATAGCTGGAATCAAAATTTAGCAATTTAGACACACTCACTTTAAATCCAGGTTGTGAATTTTTGACTGTCGTTGCAATTCTCCTACATCAATAAGGCTAAGATGCAAAACCAAACCACCCTAGTAATTTAGTATCAACCAGCATTTTTAGTCTCTAACTTTGAACTTATCATCATAAAAGCATTCTATAACAAGCTTATGGAACTGTGGTATATCCAGATAAAACGGAATTAACGAGCTACATTGGATGGTCTGCTTGATAAATGGAAATTTGATCAAGATATCTATTATGAAGTAATATTAGAACTGAGTTGATATTATGCTTAATAATGAGACTGGACACAAGTGCAAAACAAAATGAACCATCTTTATTAAACGTGAAACACAAATATGGTATGAGTACTTGTCATTTACTTACTTCAGACCATTGCTTCTACTAAAGGTTCTCAGGTTAAGATCATATCTCAGATTATCAAATCCAAGGTTTCTTAGGTTCCATGAAACCTCAAACTTACCCAGTGCAACATGCACTACCACATGACTGTTTATTCTTATTAAACATAAATGTGGCTGTACCCTTTTTATATCACCTGTACAACCATTAAAGAACACTGCTGTTGACATCCCTTCAAAAGGTGATTTAAAGCAATGTTCTCCACGGGAAGAAACAAGTATTACCAACTTCCAGTATAATAAAGGAACAAAGATAGCTTGAAACAATAGCAACTTAATGTGTCAGATGTACACGACTGTTTCCATTTAAGTTTAGTGCAAGTGTTATGATTTAGTTATTTTCTGAAGCGCTAGTTTATCGCAAGTTTGTTTACGTAACTGCTTAAGAATCATATGTGGTGTAGTTCAATAGTTATGAATTGGTGATTGGTATATTATTGCGCCATGTTACTAGAACCTTCTGAGTTTTTCTCATTGTTTCAATTTTGTATTATTGCATCATAATATATAATAGTGTGTAGAATGTTCTTGAAATATAGTTTGAGAGGTAAATTGATCTAGACTGAGTGATTATGAGTTTAGCCATAGAGAACGTATAGTGGCGATTTATAAAGTGAAATTATCACAGATTGTATTGTAATAACAGAGTAGAGAAGAATAATTCGTCTTGTCAATTATGTTCTGAAGTAATTGAAACTGCTTGTGCGGACTTTGACGAAAAAGAAACAATTATTTTAAGATCTGGATACAACTGTGATAACAAACAGTTATAGTGGTGATTTTAAAGTGAAATTATCACAGATTGTATTGTAATAACAGAGTAGGGAAGAATATTTTGTTTTGTCAAATTGTGTTCTAAAGTAACTGAACC